GAGAAAGAGCAAAAGAAGGTGTGAAGGAAAGAACGAGCTACGAAAGCAAGAAAGGCAGAAAAGCAGCCAGAATGCATTGTGGAGGTCAGCGGCTGTGATGTGTCCGGCCCCAGTGCTCCTGTCCCCAGGGTGCTCAGTGATGAAGGGGGATCTGCCCTCCGCTCAGACTTTCATGTCGCCATCTAAGCTACTGGCAGACAGACACTGGCGGGGGCTGGACGACAGCTACAAATGTCACCCGAACAGGGAGATTTAATTAGGAATGACAAGCCCTGACACGCGAGAGTGCCGCCACATACTCCCAGAATTTAGGCATGCTGAAAGCAAGCGGCTGTGATTTATAATTTAACTAATGCCTGGCGTTTCTTTTTCATTTCTTGGCTAGAAGGGGGATAACTCAAAAGGCCTCCTCACTGAAGCTAATCTAATACGATATTTTTAAGGGCAGGCGGTCAACGGCTTTTTAAAAAGCACGTCGCTCGCTCTCTCTCTCTCGGTTTCTCGCTACCTCCACTTTGCAACTCGCCTGACTTTCTCTCTCGTTTTTTTGAGCTCTCTTTCTGCTCAGACAGGGAAAGAGGTGTGATAATGAAAACAACCTCCTTTCCTATCTCCCGCCTCTCTCTCTCGCCTGCTAAGCTCCATGCACTCTGGGGAAATTGATTGTCTGGCAGGCCGATCTGAGCACTCGCAGCTGATGCTGGAGCCAGTTAAGTCCCTTTTTTATTGAGGGTACGAGCATTTTTTAATGGGAGTCGCATCAATGAACTGTGCAGGCGCTCGGCATCTGCATGCAGAAGGGGGCTTTTACTTTATAGTTATTTGAATACCCTCCCAAATCCTCTTTCTCTACTCATGCCGGATATGAGGAGGATAGAAAGCAGGAACCTGTCCACCTTCATCATCTCCAGACACACTGGCCTCTCTCTCCGTCCAAAGCCTGACACCTGTCTGCAGCTCCAGACCAGACGGTACGGTCCATATATACTGAAACCACAGCGCAGACACAGATACTCTAATCAATGACACGCACAAAGGTCTATTACTTATTGTTATGAGCTTGTGCTCTACTGCGGTGATCTCTCAATCAAAAGCAAATGGACGCCAGGAAGAGTGAGTGAGTGAGTGTGTGAGACAGAAAGAGAAAGAAACTGTTCTTTTGCTATTGATTTCAGCCTCAGACCCCTACTGACTGCTTCTCAATAAGAAGTCTAGAAAGGAAGCGGCTAAATCCTGCTGAAATTGGAGGGAGGGAATCAATTTAAATCAAGCATGGCGGTCTCCATCTCTTTTCTCTTCTTCTTTTTTTTCCATGCAAAATCATTGATCGTTGAAACTTCTTTATCCATACAACATTTATACCTCCACTTGGATTGTCCATTCATCCACTGAATGGACAATGGATCTTTCTTTCTCTTTTGTCTCTCACACTCACTCACTCACTCTTCCTGGCGTCCATTTGCTTTTGATTGAGAGATCGCCGCAGTAGAGCACAAGCTCATAACATGCCAATCTCCCATGGGGGGTTCCGCAGAGGGATCTATACTAGCTCCTACCATCTTTTTCTTTATATATGCTCCCATTGGGCTCTATTTTCCGAAAGCATAGTGTATCTTTTCATTGCTATGCCGATGACACCCAGATTTATTTGCCCCTTAAACACTCGGGTAACATCACCCTGGGCCCTCTAATGGAGTGTATGGAGGACATAAAAATCTGGATATCATCAAATTTTCTTAATCTAAACGAAAAGAAAACGGAAATTATATTCTTTGGTCCCCCTAGTGGCATTCCCACAAAGTTTGTTAATGATCACCATGTCACATTTCAAGCCAAAACTCTTGTTAAAAATGTAGGCGTTTTGCTTGATAATGAGCTGAAACTAGACGAACAAGTAAGCTCAGTGGTTAGATCCATTTTTTAATCTCCGCCTTCTTTCTTTTCTCTCTTTTCAAGATTTTGAAAGAGTAATTCATGTTTTTATATCATCACGGTTAGACTACTGTAGCTCACTTTATTGTGGAATGAACACTACTTCCCTGGCCCATCTCCAGTTGGTTCAAAATGCGTCAGCAAGACTTTTATTGGGCCTCTGTAAATCCACTCACATTACACCTGCGTTAGCATCATTGCATTGGCTGCCTGTCCGGTTTAGAGTGGAGTTCAAAATCCTAGTTTTTGTTTTTAAGTCCCTAAACAACTTCGCCCCCTCATATCTATCAGAGCTTCTATCTCCACATAACCATTCTCGAGCTCTTCGATCCGGTAGTTATAGATTGCTCAATGTTCCCAGAGCCAGACTTAAAGCAGTGAACGTGCCTTTGCCGTCACATCCACTTATCTATTCATCTATCATCTGCTTCTTATCCATCCATCAATCCGCTTCTTCATCCATTCTTCCTTTCATCCATCCATCCATCCATCCATCCACTCATTCCTTCATTCATTCATCCATTCTGCTCCTCCATGTATTCATTCATCCATCCATCAATATGCTTATTCATCCATTTATCTACTCATTCATTCATCCATCCATCCATCCATCCACCTATTCAATCATACATTCATTCATCCATCCTTTTGCTTCTCCATCCGTCCTCACTTACTCACTTATTCATTCATTTCTATTGCGCCAGTCAAGTTCTTTCACTTCCTGTTCTCAAAGTTCACTCTTTTACCAAACATACACGCACGCATTCTTAAAACCTCACAACAGAAACATCTCAGACATCATCTATCATCTGCTTCTTATCCATCCATCAATCCGCTTCTTCATCCATTCTTCCTTTCATCCATCCATCCATCCATCCATCCACTCATTCCTTCATTCATTCATCCATTCTGCTCCTCCATGTATTCATTCATCCATCCATCAATATGCTTATTCATCCATTTATCTACTCATTCATTCATCCATCCATCCACCTATTCAATCATACATTCATTCATCCATCCTTTTGCTTCTCCATCCATCCGTCCTCACTTACTCACTTATTCATTCATTTCTATTGCGCCAGTCAAGTTCTTTCACTTCCTGTTCTCAAAGTTCACTCTTTTACCAAACATACACGCACGCATTCTTAAAACCTCACAACAGAAACATCTCAGACAACGGCAGCAGGTGCCCATGGATGTCTTTTCTCAAAAAAGCTGTACCTTAGACCTTTTCCTGTTTGCCAAGAAGGTGAAAGCAGAACGATGCCATGCTGATCAGAGAGCAGCAGGAGGACGATGCCATCCTATTACCTTTAAGCTGCTCTGAGTTTAGAGCTGAACCTAAGGGATAGTGGTTAGAAGTTCCTCAGCTCATCTGCCTGTCCTCACCATAATCAGCTTGTGCATGTGGAATACTGCCACACCAACAAAACAGAACCGAAAGCATATGGAATGTTCTAAAAGAAGGTTCTCTCTATTCTTTCCTTTCTTCTCTCCTTCTCATTACAGAAAGAGCTACCTCAGTTTAAGTCTAATCTGAAGCTTAAAGCAGAGCCCTGGGATCTTCGGTCGGAAAAGCCCCCCCTAAACCATTTCTTTAATCTCAGAGCCTGCCAGAACGAGATTTGTCAGTCTGAAAAATTCCTACAAACCCCGAACAAACATGGACATACACATGAAAATGTACACAAATATACAGTGTGTCGACCAGAGGATCTGTTCTACATGGGTTACTCGTGCATGTGTGTGAAACCGACTTATGGAAAATGAGCAGATTTGTTTCAGCATGTGTTTATTTGCATACAGGTAAGTCGGTAAGGACATACACCACTGCAAATGTTTAGCTAACCTCGAGCTAGAAGCCTTGAAGCCGTGGCAGTGAACCTCAGCAGTAAAGTCTTTAATTCTTGCTGATTCAATGGTTATTGAACAATGAAGACAAACACTCTACAAATGATCCATATATGGTCAACAAGACCTTCCATAGACATTCCACACAGAATTGCACATAGACAGGTAGAGGCTGAGTTGAGTATAATGTACTAGAGCAGAGCAGGTTAAATTGCAGTAGAAAAGGAGTTCTCCAAACTAGGGCTTTTCTAGACATAAGAGGGTACTAGGAGGTCTGTAAAATATTTGATAATTTATATTGTATTGATTTATTATTGTTTGTAAAATGTGTTATTAAAGCTGTTGAAGTTAACAATGGCAGTTAAGATATTGGTATTCATTTATTTATTTACATTCAACCAAATCGACAAGATTTAATTTAATTTCAAGACAAGATTTAGATGTAATAAATCTAATAATTTAGATTTAATAGATTTGAATTTAATTTCAGTTTTCTAAAGACTGATAAAAAAAATTGGTAAAATAATTGTTGATATTTTATTCTATTAAGAGCAAAAGCAACAGTTAAAAAAGAAAAATCGGCATTTAAAAAGTGAATATTTTACAGCCAATATTTGAACAATTTGCTTTAGTACAATGAGAATATAAAAGCCAATTCTTCAATTATTCAAGGGGACGACTGTATTTCTGGATCCTTGGCATCAAAAACCCCTGCAGCAGAGTACACTACAGTAGAGTGGAGTATAAAATACTATAGGAGGGGAGAACAGACAGACTCAAGCACAAGGACAAAAGCCAGCAGCGCTCCAATCAAGGCTGCGAAAAACAAGATGTTAACTATTTATGTCTAAACAATGCCACTGTGAGTGGAGCGAAGCTTCTTGGGGCATGAAATGAATGTGATGTGAACATTTCAGGGGTCATGAATGTGCTTCATCATGCTGACATAAAAAACTCTGTTAATAGAACAGTGTGAAAGAAGAGTCTATTGTCAAAGTTCATTTAACTCATCCTCAATGCTGTCAGTGCCTAACTACACAGTCAAATTTAGTTATTCAGTCTGAGTGTTCAGTCCTATCAGAAGGAAGAAAATCTAATATGCTGTGCCAGCAATTAGCAAGACAAACCAATTTGCTGTCGACCGTTTGTAATTGTCATTTATGATCAAATTAATCTAAAACCAGAAATAAACAAGAAATCTAAACTCTGCTCACATTTGCGGTTGATGTGTTGCGTTGGCTCAAGATTCTTGCTGCTGCTGCAGACGGCCGTGGCGTGCTGGAGTGCAGGGTTCTGCCTCCTCTGCAGACAGGCCAGCATGACTGCGCAGACGCAGGTATGATTCTACAGACACTGGTTTGCCGAGCCCGACCTGCAAAATGAAGAAAAATGTAACTGTTAGTGATGTAGTCAGAATAAGCAAGATGTGCAGGAATTACACTGATTTAGATGGAAAAACAGTATTATAAAAAGTCATTTGGGAACTGGAGGTTATAGCACATAAAATATTTTTTAAATTAGAAAGAAAAAAAATTCATAAAAATTTTTAATATTGAAAGTATTAATAAAATTATAAATATTTATGTTTTTAAAATAATAAATAAAATAAGTATAAATAAAAGTATTAATAAAATTACAAATGTTTATTTTTAAAACTATTTAAAAAACTAAATAAAAAGTTAAAATAATAAAAGTATCTAAATATTTCTTTATCTGTATTTGTTTGCTAAATAAATAAATAAAGTATCAGTAAAATTATACATTTATATTTTTAACAGCATAAAAATAAAATGAATAAAATGATAAAAATTTAATTTTTAAATTACAAATAAAAATAAGTGTAAAAGTAAAATTACACTTGTTTAAAAGCATAAATAAAAATAAAAATGAAAGTTTAAATATGAAAACTATCAATAACATTATAATTTAAACAAGTATAAATAAAATAATAAATAATAAAAGTATTAATAAAATAATTATTTTCAAAAGTATAAATAAAAATAATTAAATAAAAGTGTAAACTAAAATAAAACTAAACTTAAATACGAAAAGGATCAGGAAATGCCAGATTCAAACTCCAACCACTAGGCCAAGGCTCCAATGTGTATACATATTTTTTTATTCAGTTCTTCAACTCACACCTGTGAAGCACAGAAGGAGGACACACACACACATGCCATGCTGATCAGAGAGCAGCAGGAGGACGATGCCATCCTATTACCTTTAAGCTGCTCTGAGTTTAGAGCTGAACCTAAGGGATAGTGGTTAGAAGTTCCTCAGCTCATCTGCCTGTCCTCACCATAATCAGCTTGTGCATGTGGAATACTGCCACACCAACAAAACAGAACCGAAAGCATATGGAATGTTCTAAAAGAAGGTTCTCTCTATTCTTTCCTTTCTTCTCTCCTTCTCATTACAGAAAGAGCTACCTCAGTTTAAGTCTAATCTGAAGCTTAAAGCAGAGCCCTGGGATCTTCGGTCGGAAAAACCCCCCCTAAACCATTTCTTTAATCTCAGAGCCTGCCAGAACGAGATTTGTCAGTCTGAAAAATTCCTACAAACCCCGAACAAACATGGACATACACATGAAAATGTACACAAATATACAGTGTGTCGACCAGAGGATCTGTTCTACATGGGTTACTCATGCATGTGTGTGAAACCGACTTATGGAAAATGAGCAGATTTGTTTCAGCATGTGTTTATTTGCATACAGGTAAGTCGGTAAGGACATACACCACTGCAAATGTTTAGCTAACCTCGAGCTAGAAGCCTTGAAGCCGTGGCAGTGAACCTCAGCAGTAAAGTCTTTAATACTTGCTGATTCAATGGTTATTGAACAATGAAGACAAACACTCTACAAATGATCCATATATGGTCAACAAGACCTTCCATAGACATTCCACACAGAATTGCACATAGACAGGTAGAGGCTGAGTTGAGTATAATGTACTAGAGCAGAGCAGGTTAAATTGCAGTAGAAAAGGAGTTCTCCAAACTAGGGCTTTTCTAGACATAAGAGGGTACTAGGAGGTCTGTAAAACATTTGATAATTTATATTGTATTGATTTATTATTGTTTGTAAAATGTGTTATTAAAGCTGTTGAAGTTAACAATGGCAGTTAAGATATTGGTATTCATTTATTTATTTACATTCAACCAAATCGACAAGATTTAATTTAATTTCAAGACAAGATTTAGATGTAATAAATCTAATAATTTAGATTTAATAGATTTGAATTTAATTTCAGTTTTCTAAAGACTGATAAAAAAAATTGGTAAAATAATTGTTGATATTTTATTCTATTAAGAGCAAAAGCAACAGTTAAAAAAGAAAAATCGGCATTTAAAAAGTGAATATTTTACAGCCAATATTTGAACAATTTGCTTTAGTACAATGAGAATATAAAAGCCAATTCTTCAATTATTCAAGGGGACGACTGTATTTCTGGATCCTTGGCATCAAAAACCCCTGCAGCAGAGTACACTACAGTAGAGTGGAGTATAAAATACTATAGGAGGGGAGAACAGACAGACTCAAGCACAAGGACAAAAGCCAGCAGCGCTCCAATCAAGGCTGCGAAAAACAAGATGTTAACTATTTATGTCTAAACAATGCCACTGTGAGTGGAGCGAAGCTTCTTGGGGCATGAAATGAATGTGATGTGAACATTTCAGGGGTCATGAATGTGCTTCATCATGCTGACATAAAAAACTCTGTTAATAGAACAGTGTGAAAGAAGAGTCTATTGTCAAAGTTCATTTAACTCATCCTCAATGCTGTCAGTGCCTAACTACACAGTCAAATTTAGTTATTCAGTCTGAGTGTTCAGTCCTATCAGAAGGAAGAAAATCTAATATGCTGTGCCAGCAATTAGCAAGACAAACCAATTTGCTGTCGACCGTTTGTAATTGTCATTTATGATCAAATTAATCTAAAACCAGAAATAAACAAGAAATCTAAACTCTGCTCACATTTGCGGTTGATGTGTTGCGTTGGCTCAAGATTCTTGCTGCTGCTGCAGACGGCCGTGGCGTGCTGGAGTGCAGGGTTCTGCCTCCTCTGCAGACAGGCCAGCATGACTGCGCAGACGCAGGTATGATTCTACAGACACTGGTTTGCCGAGCCCGACCTGCAAAATGAAGAAAAATGTAACTGTTAGTGATGTAGTCAGAATAAGCAAGATGTGCAGGAATTACACTGATTTAGATGGAAAAACAGTATTATAAAAAGTCATTTGGGAACTGGAGGTTATAGCACATAAAATATTTTTTAAATTAGAAAGAAAAAAAATTCATAAAAATTTTTAATATTGAAAGTATTAATAAAATTATAAATATTTATGTTTTTAAAATAATAAATAAAATAAGTATAAATAAAAGTATTAATAAAATTACAAATGTTTATTTTTAAAACTATTTAAAAAACTAAATAAAAAGTTAAAATAATAAAAGTATCTAAATATTTCTTTATCTGTATTTGTTTGCTAAATAAATAAATAAAGTATCAGTAAAATTATACATTTATATTTTTAACAGCATAAAAATAAAATGAATAAAATGATAAAAATTTAATTTTTAAATTACAAATAAAAATAAGTGTAAAAGTAAAATTACACTTGTTTAAAAGCATAAATAAAAATAAAAATGAAAGTTTAAATATGAAAACTATCAATAACATTATAATTTAAACAAGTATAAATAAAATAATAAATAATAAAAGTATTAATAAAATAATTATTTTCAAAAGTATAAATAAAAATAATTAAATAAAAGTGTAAACTAAAATAAAACTAAACTTAAATACGAAAAGGATCAGGAAATGCCAGATTCAAACTCCAACCACTAGGCCAAGGCTCCAATGTGTATACATATTTTTTTATTCAGTTCTTCAACTCACACCTGTGAAGCACAGAAGGAGGACACACACACACACAGAGAGAGAAGTATGTGAGGTGGAGGTTTAATGCTGCTCCAGCTGCCTCTCGGCTCTGTGGGCTGAATTACAAACACACACCTGCTGCATCACATGGGAATCCAGCAGCCCCATCATTCCTGGCCATCCCACAGCACCCATCCATCAACAGCCTTTCCTTTCTTCTCTCCTTCTCATTACAGAAAGAGCTACCTCAGTTTAAGTCTAATCTGAAGCTTAAAGCAGAGCCCTGGGATCTTCGGTCGGAAAAGCCCCCCCTAAACCATTTCTTTAATCTCAGAGCCTGCCAGAACGAGATTTGTCAGTCTGAAAAATTCCTACAAACCCCGAACAAACATGGACATACACATGAAAATGTACACAAATATACAGTGTGTCGACCAGAGGATCTGTTCTACATGGGTTACTCGTGCATGTGTGTGAAACCGACTTATGGAAAATGAGCAGATTTGTTTCAGCATGTGTTTATTTGCATACAGGTAAGTCGGTAAGGACATACACCACTGCAAATGTTTAGCTAACCTCGAGCTAGAAGCCTTGAAGCCGTGGCAGTGAACCTCAGCAGTAAAGTCTTTAATTCTTGCTGATTCAATGGTTATTGAACAATGAAGACAAACACTCTACAAATGATCCATATATGGTCAACAAGACCTTCCATAGACATTCCACACAGAATTGCACATAGACAGGTAGAGGCTGAGTTGAGTATAATGTACTAGAGCAGAGCAGGTTAAATTGCAGTAGAAAAGGAGTTCTCCAAACTAGGGCTTTTCTAGACATAAGAGGGTACTAGGAGGTCTGTAAAATATTTGATAATTTATATTGTATTGATTTATTATTGTTTGTAAAATGTGTTATTAAAGCTGTTGAAGTTAACAATGGCAGTTAAGATATTGGTATTCATTTATTTATTTACATTCAACCAAATCGACAAGATTTAATTTAATTTCAAGACAAGATTTAGATGTAATAAATCTAATAATTTAGATTTAATAGATTTGAATTTAATTTCAGTTTTCTAAAGACTGATAAAAAAAATTGGTAAAATAATTGTTGATATTTTATTCTATTAAGAGCAAAAGCAACAGTTAAAAAAGAAAAATCGGCATTTAAAAAGTGAATATTTTACAGCCAATATTTGAACAATTTGCTTTAGTACAATGAGAATATAAAAGCCAATTCTTCAATTATTCAAGGGGACGACTGTATTTCTGGATCCTTGGCATCAAAAACCCCTGCAGCAGAGTACACTACAGTAGAGTGGAGTATAAAATACTATAGGAGGGGAGAACAGACAGACTCAAGCACAAGGACAAAAGCCAGCAGCGCTCCAATCAAGGCTGCGAAAAACAAGATGTTAACTATTTATGTCTAAACAATGCCACTGTGAGTGGAGCGAAGCTTCTTGGGGCATGAAATGAATGTGATGTGAACATTTCAGGGGTCATGAATGTGCTTCATCATGCTGAC